CACACATTTTGGAAAAATTCTTAAAATTTTGGACCTGCCAAAAATGAAACATGCAATAAAGTATTTACAGAATTATGGGATCCTTGCATCAAAAAGGTGTGCATCATAGGTTATGATATGTGATTTTATTTGAAAACGGATAAATAGTGGCAATGCAATATAAAAAATTATGAGAAGCAATTTATGTTTTCTTTGTATCTTGATTCTCTAACTAAATAAAGAGTTGTCAGTTCTTTCAAATTTTTGCTGGAGTGATTGATGCAGGCTTTGCAACATCTTAACCTACTTCCATGATTGACTGTAGTTTTATTTTTATGCTTTTAAAATACATTGCCTTTTATGTCTTAATGCATTTTTTCCCTAAAAAATTATCATACATAATGTTAAATGTAGGCTTTGGTATTCAATGTGATAATGAATAAGGTTTTTGTATTTTTGACGTGAAATTTCTTTCATTCATTCATTTGACTTTTCTTCTGTGAGCTGCATTTTTTACATGTGCTGAATCACCTGGAGTTTTCACGTATTGTGCATATGACATTTCTCAGGCTTTCCAGGTAATTCAGTTTTTACTGTATGTACGTTGGATAAAAGAAGAAATCGTTAGACCTTTTTAAAAATTCAGAAAAAATTAATGAAATCTCACATGCATATGCAGGTTACACCAAAATTTGCATTATGAATTCTGTTCCCCCTCCCCCTTACTTATGTATTATATCGTCAACTGTGAAAATCGGGAAATAGGTGTGATTTAGCGTGAGTTATTGTTAAATGTGGCATAACAACACATTCATAACATCTGCGCTTTTGTTTGATGTAACCACAGTTGATCCTCGATAAGCCACATTATGTTTTTATGAATGAGGATATAAATTAACTGTTGCTGCTGTATTTTTTCTTAGAATTTAAAAGAAAGTGATTAAAATTTGTGTGTTCTACCTTGCAAGCAGTGGATTATTTTCGAAGCTATAGGGATCCTACCATAAAAAAAAACTGTATTGATATATATGATGTAATTGGCTGAATATGGTTGACAAAACAGTTAACAGTTGTAGGAAGTTGGTATATATATATATATATAGCATTTTATAAGCATAATTTCTGGTAAAATTGGAGGGCCTAACAAAATAGTAGAAGCCAGTGAAAGCCTTTTTTCAAAGTGCAGAAATGAAGCGAATCGAATACTGATTGTTTATCCCATTAGCACTCAAATTATTTTTTCTGGAAGCAATTGGATAAAAATCTTGTTTTGAGTATTTTGTTTTCATTATGAATATTATAATTGAAATTTAATCAAACTGCCAGTAGTTTTTTTTAGTCCAAAGGGGCTTTGTCCCTGAAGGACTATTGTTTCCGTTTTGCGACTTTGCGGCGAATTCTTTTTCAAACTGTTGCCACCAAATGTTAGAGTCCTGCATTATATTTGAAGAAATTAAATAATGAAAAATCTGCATAAATGTATGTATATTTATCGCATTGTGATAAAGCAACGGTACATAGAGCCAACAAATTTTGAATGACATAATCCTCCTATAAAATGGGCATGTGGAAGACCAAATTTGAAATTTTTTTATTAATTTCATATTTTGTAAAACTTTAACGAATTTTTGAGTGACAAACTCAACGATTTAAAAGCGAGCAATGGCAACACTCTGCGGAGAAAAAAAACCTTTTTATCTCCAGCACACGTAACTGTGTATCGGAAATTCTAAAGGTATGCCTATTTTAAAATTATTTTGCGACATTGCTATTGCACTGAATTTTATGGTTTAAGTGAAAAGAACATATTTAATAAATAAAGGTAACACACAAAACGTTAAGAAAAAAGCCCCTTTGGATGTAATTTAAAACATGAAACCTTTCAGTTTTTTTTTTTTTTTTTTTTTTTTTTTTTTTTTTTAAGACATACTAAAAAAAATAGATTGTTGGGCGTTGATGTGATATTTTTTTAGTATGTAACAGATGACTTAGTAGTACTTCATAAAAATGTTTAAAAAGCTAAAATTAGATAAAATAAAAATACACCACTTTAAAAACATGTATGTATTTCAAAATACATAGAAATGTAAAAAAATAGCTTTGTGCAATAATAATAAAATAAAATAATGCAGTGTTTAAAATATTTCTAAAGCTTTTAAATGAAATAAAATTAAGAAAAGACGCAATATAATATTATAACTTAACAAACTTAAATATATATGTAAATGGATATAATGCTAGTAAATTGTAATATTAACTTCTTCTTCTTCTTCTTTTTTTTTTTTTTTTTTTTTTTTTTTTTTTTTTTTGTCTGTGTGTGTGTGTGTGTGAAATTCTGTAAAACAATTTTTACATAAAGAGTACTGCACGTTGTACATAAAGAGTACTGCACTTTGTACAGAATGTGAGAGGTCTTGATTTATAGCCTGCAAGTTGGCAACATCATTATGCATTTTGCCTGCCTATGTATCTAATCCAGCCAATCTGTCATAACAAACATCATTACTAACATTGCTTCTTGAACTTTAAGGAAAACTGGAAGGCCCTTTTGAAACTCTTCTTCTGATCCTCAATTTTAAATAGTGTACAGCTATAGTTCTTCAGAAATCTTTCATTTTCATTTCTGTAAAGAATGTTTGCATTAATTGATATCATGTCAATAATTCATGTGAACAAATACCTATGTTATTTTTACCTCTAATTGCAATACTGTGCTTTTCTAACAACCAATCGTGATGGTTTACTCCCTCCATATATTTGCTATAAGTATTTATTAAATTTGGCTGTGGGATTGTTACTTTGTCCTCCTTCTTACTTGACCATCTTTGCACTTTTGAAGTGCACTTAATGTTATCAAAATTAGTCACAACTGCCATCATTTTGTTATCCCTCCATCTAACTATTGTTATTTCATTATTTTCATCAAATCAATAATTGCATGATCTACGTGGCATTTTATTCAACTCGCTGGAAATTTTTATAATACACTTCAATTATGTTATGTTATATAATAGCTCAAAAGCTTTTTCTTAAAGATTATGTAGTAAAGAATGGCTAGTGAAAAAAATATGTATTAAAAAAATAACATGGCTTGGTGGATTTTCTGTGATGGATAACATATTCATTGCAACTCTTTCTTCCAGTGATCTAAAGCATGAACTCTTGGATTGTTCTTTTCCACAATACAATGAAAATTTAAAACAGTATTCACTATTGCCACAAAACCAAAGCTTAACTTTTTTTAATTGTTTTAGAGAATGGTCATCTTACAATCATATCATTGGTAGGCAAGCACTTATTGAAAATTCCTCACTGCTTAAAATTTTCATTCACTTTTTCCAAAAGGAATTTTATTGCAAATGATTTGTCAGGCTTATTTTCAGAGGCGCTGCAATTATTCTGGAAGTGAATATATGATTTAATTTTTAAGCAAGCATTCTGAACCAACTCAGTTCCTAAGTCTTTTGCTTCACTCGAATAATCTCTTTCACTTGGAAGAGTATGGTAGCTGGAAAAAAAATAAAAACCCTATGAATATCTTTTATATCTTCTGTGGTAATATTAAAATAATGGTAATTTTTAAAGTAGTGAATTACCCCTTCAATGATTAAATCATATACTTCATCAGAAACAAGCAAGTTTTTCAAACACAGCAACTGGAGATTCATTTTCTATTCCATTTTTGAGTGCTACAAGAAAATCCTTATATTTTCCCTCTGCTTGCATCAGCTTCATGAAATTTGGTATTGTCATAGTCGAAACTATTTTTGATCTTTCTGTATTTTTAACTTAAAAGCTTTTTTTTTTTTTTTTTTTTTTAAGGTTGAAGTCAATTCTATTTTTTTAGATTCATCATCTGCTGATATTACTTCTGATTAACTTTCTCAGCATATCCCTTATAATTGGAGCATCTACATTCTCATCGTCAATTTCTTCTTCATCCATCAATTTATCAATTTCAGGTGATCCACCAATATTGCCTTCAGTTTCCTTAGAAAAGCAAGAATATTTTCCTATTCATATTTTCAATCTAAAGAAGACAAGAAAGCAATTATGGTATGGCCTGCAATAAGAAAGAAGAGTGCTTGAATACCCAGTGATATATTTATAATATATTAACATTTGAGTGGGAATTTCTACTAACTAGTTCTGAACAATAGTTGCAGCATGGTGAAATAACTATATCTATATAAGGATAAAATATAACCAAATAAAAACCTCATTTATCTGCATCAGTCGACTATTTTCTCAAGAAATGTGAAGAAAGAGCTAACAAAATGCATTACGAAAAACTTAAAAACAACTTTATTTTCCCACTGCCAGATAACAGCTGCAGTAATTGAGGGAAATGCATATCATTTGAATTCATGATTATTTTTGCTTACTCCATGTGCAGTTTCATCACTCTGGAATGCACTGCAAGACATTTAAAATCTTTTTAATGCCACTTAGTCTAGCTGTCTAAAAATATACTGCTAGGCTTACTGAGTTAAATAAAGAGTTCCTTCAGAATTCCACAGAAACGGTTGGTGCAAGTTGAGCGAGATCTCAGCAAACTTTCATGGTTCAATAGTACCAAACTTTCACAGTTGACAGGATAATATGCAAGTACTTTTTTTTTAGTAAATAAATTTTTGATCTTAACTCAGTTACATTTGCCATTTTAGGAAATTACCAAAGTAAAAATTCTGATATTATTAAAGATATATTTCTTTTTCTTTGCAAAGAATAGAAGTGGATTGTTGCCAGATGTTAATGACAATCATAACAGTTTCTGAAAAACTTCTGCAAGCAATTTCTTGCTTAAGGACATTTTAAATAAATCACATCTAATTTTTTTTTTTTTTTTAAATTACAGTAGTGTACTGAAGATGAAGCGTTTATCTTTCAATCTATGTAAAGTATTAAGAACTAAATGCTTACTTTTGTTCAATTTCAGTGTATTTGGTTTTCTTTATTCAGTTTAAATGCATTATATTTTGTATTGGTTTCAAATAATTTGTAATTATTTAACTGAACAGGTATTGTGCTAAACTTCCTAGTGACACATTTACAAGACTAACACCAAAGTGGTATATAAATGAAGACTATTCTTCTGGCTCTACACCTCAGTTCCAGTGTGTTTTGAAACTGCCAATCAATTCCCCAGTGAAAAAAGCTTTAGTTGTGAGGAAATTTTCCTTTTTTTTTTTTTTTTCTCTGTATATGAGAAAGTAATTTTAGTAAAGAATGCTCGAAAATAATGTATAATCAAGTTATCTGAATTTTACTTGTTGCAATATTACTTGTTATGAAATTTTTAGGGTCCTTGGATGAGAAGCAAACAGCTTGCAAAAATGGCAGTTGCTCTAAAAATGTGTGAAGAATTGCATAAAGCTGGTAAAGTTGTTTCCCTCTACCTTCGTTTTAATTTTAATGAATAAATGTTTTATCTTGACCACAAAATTATTTAAAAAAATTTCTACTAAATATACAGCATGTTAAAAAAACGTGTTACAGGCTTTTTTTTTTTTTTTTTTTTTTTTTTTTTTTTTTTTACATACATGGCATGTAACATACACTCAGTAGCCAAAATATTAAAGACGCATTAGTTTACCATGTACACAGTAACACCTGATAACACATCAGTTTATCTTTAGCATTCACTGCCACTATTCTTCTGTGTATGAATTCAACATGCTGATATGGTTTTTGAGGATTATTAGTTTATGTTGAGACATAATGGCAGCTCTGAATTTATCCAGATTGGATTGATGTTTCCAAATGTTGAGTGATATTTCTACTTTATCACACGAATTGAAGTCATTAGAATTTAAGTCAGGCTAGCCATGGAAGCAATTTGAATCTTAATTCCATGTTTCAGACCAGTTTGAGGCCAATGGTGCACAGTGACCTATTATCTTGCTGAAAATGACCATCTGCATTACGGAACAACACAGCCATAAATGAATGTATATTATCAGGAACAATACTCAGAGATAAACTGCAGTTCTGAGAGCTGTTTCCAGAATATCAAGGGCCCATCATACTCTAGGGAAATAATATTCCTCAGATCATAATTCCATTTCCCCAGCTTCAAGAGTTGTCATTAGGCAAGAAGGGCTAATGAATGCATTCTGTTTTGCACCATGTTCTGACCCTGCCATGTATATGATGGAGCAGGAAACAAAATTCATAGAATCAAGCAACTTATGTTAATCATCAGGTTTAATTTTGATGCTCCTGGGTATGCAATCATGCTTATTTACCAATCTTAACAAAAGTACTCTTGATGATCTTCTTTTATTAAAACCTATCTATTATCAAGTCTGTCTTGCTCATTCAGATATACACCTCATGAAATGCCTGAATTTCATTGAATTCCAATTTGTCATGTTGCTCTGAATGATTTATGCCATCTGCCGTTCATTGCTTTCATTTACCAGCATTTTCAGAACAGAATTATCATTACTGCCTGAAGTATGTTTTTAGCCATTTTCTGTTGCATGAAAAAAAGACTTAGAACATAAACCATTTCAAAGGTCACATAATTGCATTTTTGATCCTACCTCTTTCAGAGTTGCTCAAATCTTTGGTTTTATCCGTTTTTGAACTAACTATAGTAGTAATTATTTCTTCTAAGATAAGTGGTCTTTATGAAAAGAATTCATTGTCATTGTAAGTCATTGGCTGACTGACGTAAGTTTAAAGAAGTGTCTTTAGTATTTTGGCACTGGCACTCAGTATCTATTCCAGTTACAAAGTTTTATAAACATGTATGTAATGGGGAAGACTACACTATACTGTGGTTTGGGAATAAATACTTAAATAATCTGTTTCATAAACTCAAAATTTTTATTGATATTCAAGAGCGAATATTAACTGAATTTGTTTTCCTATGACTGAAATTCAAGATTTTTTAGAATGTTGTTTAGAAGTCAATTACAAAACAAAATGATATTAATGGTTTCATCTTAGATAAAACAAAATTTTTTATTAAATTTTTTGATATGTGATAGGTCCTAGAAAAGCATATGTCAGAAAAAAATATGCATAAATATATGACACTTGTAGCTTTATGTAAATAAGTCAAGCATTTTGTATGTTTTACTAATCACAGTTTTGGAGGGGATGGGGTGAAGATCACGCAAAAACTCAAGTTTTATTTTTTCAGAATCTTCACTGCATTTAGATAATTTTTCTAAAATTCTGCAAGCATATATTGCATTTAAAATTAATGTTTAAGAAAATAAAAAAAAAAATGTGCAAGTTTTTTCAAGTAACCTATTCATGAGTTTATTTGAATAAAGGCAAAGGAATTTATACTGAATATTATGTTTTACAAGATTTACAACAGAAAAGGTGTTTTTTTTTTTTTTTTTTTTTTTTTTGGTGTGTGTGTGTGTGTGTGTGTGTGTCAGGCCTTTAATTTCTTGATGCTAATTTTTTATTGCTTGTTTATGCAGAATTTATTAAATCTGAGTTCACTAATTACCTGGAGAATATCTCAAAATGACTGACTAAAAAAAAAATAGAAATCGAAGCTATTTCGTGACTGTAAATCAGTCACGTAATTGCTATCATTTTTTATAACAATTCGCTGTCATAGAACTAAATGCTAAATACTCTTTTTGTAAAGGGAAGGCAAATTGGATGTTAAAAAAAAAATTTTGCAAGACCTGTTTTTACCTGATTAGTATTTCAAAATGATATCTTCTCAGAAAGTGCTGTAGAGATCCAAAGCAATAATAATCTATCACAACATATTTGTCTGATAAGTACTTTAAAAGGGCAATTTTTTTTTTTTTTTTTTTTTTTTTTTTTTTTTTTTTTTTTGTCTAATTTTATCTTCATCTGGGTGATATGCATTCTATATACTTTTTGTATTGTTAGAGAACATGATAATTCTCCTTGTGTTGACCAAGGCACAATCTTTCGTACAAAGATGTTGAGTCAAATCGTCTAGTAGAGAATAAAAGTTTACAGTGATAATATGACCACATACCAAAACTTCAAAAGATGCAGTTCTCCACTAACTTCACTATAAATCTTTTGGGGGATTAATCCTAGTTTTAAATTTTTCACCTAGCATCTGATTTGTGAAAAATTTTTGTGTTTTATTGTAACATATTTTTCTTCTCTTGTGACAGTTCAATGCCGATGTTATTCTTTTTCCTGCTTTCTAAGCAAGGATTTCCTGATGAAGAAGCACTGAAATTTGTTGTCAGTTGAGAGTTAGTGTTGTGTCTGAATTCTGTGTCTGTAGACCTTTCTGATTTGCTCTGTAACTGTGATAATGGCAGTGCATTGCTTAATTCTGTGCTGGTCTGACAACAATTAGCTTTAAAACTCAGTACAAAGGTTATCAGGTTTTTAATCTTTTGCTATCATAAAGTCTGACCCAAATCTGTGGTAGACGTAAGCGACTCATCGCTATGTCTGAAATTACAGCAAACTCAGAAGAAGGATTTAAGGACCCTTTTATTAATCCAAATAAAATTTAATAAATGGCGCCAACTTATGCTTACAGAAGCCTTCACTTTTGGTTTAAATCAAAGATAATGGGTAAACTTAAAATTGATGAAGTTTAAGTATAGCCTAACAGCTTCACATTTTAATTAGTGTATAAGCTGGCTCTGACTGAAGTTGGCACTCAAAGGCTACAGAATTCTAATTGCAAGAGAATCAAAGTTCACTCAGAACACACTCTGATTTCACCCTCCGAAACTTTCCTTTAAATACTATCTTCTTTCTACCTAATTTGAAAGTTGTGTGTGCTGAAAATTTGCATTCTAGGAGATAAATAAAATGAGGCTTGATAGGAAAGTGAGTTAACATAAAATAATGGGTTATAAAATTAAATTACAATTTAATTTTTAACATACAATTTTCCCTATAGAATTTATGTAAACAAAAAGGAGGTCCCTAACCACCTCATTAAGATCTGAAATTCTAACTATATAAGAATTCAGAGCCAGCTTCTTACAATAATGTGAAATTTTAAGTGCAATTCTTATTTTACATTACAAAGAGCTGGCTCCTCTCTAAAAGCATTATTTCAGCAGCTCAGGTCCTTCTAGAAATCTGGAAGGGAAAAAGGCTAGCAAAAAAATTCAAAACACGATACGTTGCTTCAATTTGCATTATCTCATTCTTATTTAAAACATTTCATTTAAATTTATCTGCACTTTCATTCAACTTATATATTCCATGAATAAAATCTCTTCTTCCAATGCGCTAAAGTGCAAATTGAGACAGTGTCTGTTGTATAAGTAGTACGATATTACCATCTAACCTGTACTGTACATGTTAAAAATTGCGACTCGCTAGACTTCAAAGACTTTTTGTTTTCAAAACTGCATCTAACGTGCTAACAAGAGTGTGCTTTTAACCCCTTAACTGGTCAATTTTTTATCAGAAATGTTCATAAAGAAAGTATATTTTTTATTGCATGTAATGAATTCCATACTTGTTATAAAAGAAAAATGAAAGAATATTTTTTTTTAATTTTCATAATTAATGAAACATTTTTTAAATTTTATATATTTCTAATACTTATGCCCCTAAACGTTTGCTTTTTGTAATCACAGTGTGCATGCAATGAAGACTGTATTACAGATCTCACAAACAATTATCTAAAAAAAAACTTACCATGTATTAAAAATTCATACTTTTCAATACTGTTTTCTTTGGAAGTCCTTTTTGTGTGGTACAGTTTAAAACATGGTGTTAGGCAAAGTCCTACATCACAACCAGGACAGAAATACCGTGTTTCCTTTCGGATTCTCTTTCCAGTTTCATTCCTTTGGGAACAGGAAACAGCACATTGTCTAGAAGGTCTTAGTTTCTTCTCTGTAGGAACAATAACTTCTATGAAGTGTCTTTCTGTCAGTCTCAGAGGATTAGGCTCAGAACTAGGTCATCCACATTTGAGATTCATTCCAGAATTATATTTCTCAATAATTCTGTTAACAAGATCAAGTCTGAATGTAACTGAATTTTTCTTCCTCTTTCTTACAATAGATGATATATGTGTTTTATATGGCAATATCAAAAATGTAGAAAAAAATTTTCTGTAATATTTTTTCCCTCTCTTTCTAATGACTTCACAATTTTTCAAATTTTGGTCCATGCAGTCTACTCCTCCTATTGGGTTATTATAATCCATAAAAATTTTTTGTTACTTTTTCATTTCAGAGCGGACTTGGATTTGTACCTTTTTAGTATTAGGAATTGTAGACAGTAATGAAACTTTTTTTTTTTTTTTTTTTTTTTTTTTTTTTTTTGTCCATCCACTTCATCACAGTAACTTTCCTCTCTGTGATGCTATATTTTCTCTTTTAGTTTTTTCTTTGCATTTCCTTGGGATTCTTTTCTGTTTGGTCAGAAGCCCTATGATC